TCTCTTATACACATCTAGATGTGTATAAGAGACAGATACAAGGGGCTGTGTGTTTTCTTAAAAAAAAAAAAAAAAAAAAAAAAGACCCAACCAAGCAAGGGAAACACGTATGATCATGCGAGCACGGCCAGAGTACAAGCAGAACCAAAAATAGAAACCACCAGAGTGCAATGTGATTGAGCTTCTCGAAACACACAGCCCTTTGTTCGCAGTTCGTGTGTGCTCAGGTTTTGTCCGGTCTAAGACGTCGTTTCAGTTCGTGGTCTCATGGTTTGGTTCGGGTTTTCAGTTCGGATGTACCGATGCCGCATTCTGGGCTGATTCAGGCCCAGTCCGAAACTGGCTGGCCCAAGTAGAAACCGCTTAAGCACTACTGCTGCGGATCCGCAGCTCCGTAGGCATGATGTTTCTCGAACCCAAAAGAACATACCGATCCGACTTTGCACAGGCTGAAACATCATGCCTACGGAGCTGAAGCAACTCTGATTGACATATATACATAGTCTCGTGCAAATATTCTCTCATGGCCCGTGGGCAAAAAATAAATCTTCATTCTGTGTCTAATATTTTTGAAGGATTCACGTACCCCTGAGCACCTGGTGGAGTCTCAAAGTCCCATTTTTCCCACTGTACCATATTCCCATCTGGTAGGTTGGTACAACTCTAGGCATAGTTTAGTTTCAGGCCCTACCAAAAGTCGGTATTCCTTTAGGTCTGTAGACTCCGTACAGTCCGTCCATCTGTCAGTCGCAGCTCAGTCCAGAAGTCCGAAACATTCCCGTTGTCAGAGACCGATCGTGGCCACAAGCGGCGGGTGGGAACATGGGAGTTCACAATTCAAGGATGGAGCAGAGTACAAAAGTCCTTTGACAGATTTTGGCATTTGTGCGACAGATTTTGGCATTTGTGCTTGATGCAGAACCGCTATCCCGGTCTTGTGCGTTCAGCAGTGGATGAGCGGAGTGTGGTGTAACGGTAGCCGCCATACCTTACTTTGAGAGTGTGAGAGAGAAAGAGTGAGTGCGTGGAAGATACTCACAGAGAGCCCAAGAAAGAGCGAGGCCTGTGTGAGAGTAGAGGTGAGTACTAGCAGAGAAAATATATGTGCTCACAAAAGAGAGAGAGAGAGAGAGAGAGAGAGAGAGAGAGAGAGAGAGAGAGAGAGAGAGAGAGAGAGAGAGAGAGAGAGAGAGTGTTACGAGTGTTTTGAATTGCGCGGCCATAGCCACCAGGTCGAAGAACACAGTTCTCTTTACTTGTGTTGATTGCGGAGTTTATTCTGGAGTTCATTTGCTAATGTGTGCTGTGTGTGTGCTCGGGACTTGTGTGAGAATTGCGTGAAAGTGTGCAATGCATGGTGGTCTCAATTCACCTTTCTCTGATATATTGAAGCCAGAACGAAATCCGTGTTCCCCCCCCACCAGCAGATGTCATTCATGATAGTAGGATAAATGCTCAATGATAATAGGCGCCTGCACGCTGCAGGGGGGGGTGGGAAGGGGAGGGGGCGGGAGGAGATGAGTAGGCTTGATAACGTGAACTGCGTTTCTCCCCATCAGCAGACGCCGATATTAATGGTAATAGGATGGAATTTCAGCTCCCGCGGGGGAAATGATATGAATTCAAATGATGTTGAGACCGCTATTGCCATTTTCTTAAAAAGAAGAAGAAGAAGAAGAAGAAGAAGAAGAAGAAGAAGAAACGTCCCCTTCATCTCTGAATTATTATTATATTTTTTTTAACAAAAGTGGTTCTTTTTATTAGGGGCCCAGTGGCCAAGGCAAAAATACAACGAAACTTTATGAAAGTGAATTGCAGATTAAGGGGCCATGAGGTTTTGTCAATGAAAACGGATATTGAGAATAATTGCCAAATTCGCGATACGGTGATTTCTACAGAGAAAAGAAAAGAATCTATCTTCTTCTTTTTTTTTTGAACTTTCCTGTGCAACCCCTCTGTACGCCCCTGGGGTCAAATGGAGCCCACCTTTTGTGGGCTAATGTTCAAAGGCATCCGCGCATTTGCAGGACTGAAGCCCATTGGGTCCGCTGCCGAGTTCTCTTCATACGGCCAAGACCCGGTTGGTGGCAAAAAGGCTCAAAGGCCGAGGACAGCCCAATGGAGGGCCACAAAGTCTGCATTTTCTTCGCTGTGGTCCCGACGACGAAGTGTTTTAGTCGGGGAGCCGTGTGGCTCTCTCTCTCTCTCTCTCTCTCTCTCTCTCTCTCTCTCTCTCTCTCTCTCTCTCTCTTCGCCGTGGTCCCGACGACA